TTGAGAAGGCGCTAACGGTATTCTACACACGGTTCTCGCAATAATAATAACAACAAAAACAGCAGCAGCAGCAGCAGCAGCAGCAGCAGCAGCAGCAGTAGCAAGAGCAGTAGTACACAAACCACCAGAATTGGAATGCATTTGGGCAAACGATTGTGAGAAGAAGAAAAATGCAACAACAACGAACGAGAGCTGAGGCATGAGTTTGGCAGAGCATGCGAGCTTCTGTTCGTCATTTTAGAAACGGGCGATCATCAATTTTCACAGTAACCTATATATTTCTCTCCCGCTCGCGGTGTGTGCTCTATATTTCGATCCGTTGGTATGCGTTGTTGTTCGCCACCGCGAAATGTAACGTATTTTTTGTGTTTTCAATTTGAATTATTTAAAATTCAGTCTGTGTATTTTTTCAAATTCGATGCACGGGTGTTTTCTTTACACACAAAAACCAATAAATCTGCCATTCGTAAATAGCCGCCGTATTTTTCTCTCTCTCACACCATAAAGATTGCAATCATCGGTTCAAAATTCGGATTTGTATGCAAATTTGACGGATTTAACGATTGTACGTTTTTTTTTGTACCGTCGTTAGTTCAAAATCAGCAGCAGCAACAACACAACATAAGCTTGGGAACTATGCCAAAATCCGCATCGGATTATCGAATTTGTAGATTCCCTTACTTTTTCTACGTGGATTTTGAATATAACAAATATCTTATTGCATTGTCACACTGATTTAATTGTATTTTGATTCGGGGCGGAGGGAAGGGTGAAATTTCAACACCGAATTGAATTTATCGCTTCGCTATTCGGATTGGCCCAACAATATGTTCAGATGATACACACGTGTATGCAGTACAAATTGTTCGAATTGTGTTTAGTATTGTGACGCTTTCAATAAAAATAAAATATAAAACAAACCGAAAGAAAGCCCCATCAAGAAATCACACACAGATATATTTTGTGTTGTTTTTACAAAAAACAAAACACACAAGCACTCATACACACACAAAACACTAGACAACAATTATGATTTATTGTTTGGCGCTCTAGTGTCAGAGTCGAGACGATGAGTGCCAAAAGCGATTTCGCCTCGAAACGTCAGTTTTATTTACTTTTTTCCCGTTCGGTTTTTGCCGAGTGAGAGCGACACAGAAGAATTACTATATCTCTACCTATCTATATATGTATATTGATTTTCGAGCGCGCGGTAATTGGCAACAAGAAACAGCTGCAATTTCAGTCAAATTTATCACATTCTACACCGTTGATGTAATAATTTGTTGCTGATGTTGCTTTGATTTACGAAATCGTTCTTCTATTACTATTTGTTTATTATTTATTTATTTATTTTATTTTTCATTAAACAATTTTCCTATCTAGTTCTCTTTCTCGGGTGATGGTAATCTTATGACTTAACTGGATTGTGGTGTGACTGATTGCGAATGCTATTCTGCATGCGAAACGTGCAATATTTTCGGTGGACGTTGATAATAAATGTAGTATGTGTATGTGGTGTATATAGTGTGCGCTCTTTCTATCCGTTCCAAATGTGTCCATCGCGTTCAGTTCCATTTTCTCGCACACAGCATAAATCGGTTAATGTAGAATGTGTGGTGATGAGAGACAGAATGTTTTTCTGGCATTATTCTGGCCCAGGCAATGACAGGCAAAGGGATGAATGAGTCAGCAATATGATATTTCCACATACAGATTGCTCACTTTGGCAGGCGGGAGGATACGAACAAGCAGGCGAGCGAGTGAACGAATGAGCTTTTCACTGTGCCAAAGCGTGCACGACGCGAGATTCGAGCAATTCAGCTGATTATTGCCAATGTATATATGGCACAAAACTGTGGTGTGTGAGGAGTAGCAGTCACAGCAACAATTGCCAAACATCATGTGCTTGTGCACGCATTGTGGCACAACCGACTTTTTAAATGGAGAAATGCCGTACAAAACACTTTACTCCTACAACATACAGTGTGTAAACACACAAACACACACAGCATAACCCACAAACACACACAGCATAACTCACAAACACACACAGCATAACGTGCGCCTCTGCTCTGCTCTGCTCTGCTCAATAGAATCCGACAACGAACGTTTCGTTTACATTTTCTGCCTTCGGGACGAGAATATTGTTGAAAGCTTTCAAATGGATGAATTCGACGTTGCTGAAGCACACGCTTCACTGGAGCGGACACATTGCCATGGAAAATAGAGCAAATTTTGTGGAATCGATTGTGCGCCAGCGTCAATTTCGCTTGTGAGCCAAATGTATATGTCTGAATGTGATGCTTTCTCATTTTTGCGCCTATTCATCTATGGAATAAAAATCGTTGTACGAAACCGTTCCATCCAGTGCAGTTGTGATTTGTTTTTGGGATTCTAGATGATATTCATACCTGAAAGCGTGCATTCGCATACACATACACACAACGACGACGACGACCACAACACAGTCCGTAACGCAGATGGAAAATGTATACATATTTGCTAACATCCAATCTACTTCAATTCGGGTTTTGCTGCTGGCGTTGGTTTTAGTAGGTGCTTTTATTGTTCCACTGCTGTAGCCTGAACTTTAAATTGGCCGTAATATTGTAAACAGCGGAAAATGCACAAAATTGAGCTTGTGAATGGCCTTATTTTCATCGTCATCATTCTTGAAGCAAACAAACTGCTTCCTATCCACCAACAAATATGCAAATGCATCGGCTGCACCACGTGTTTGCCGTACATGTGCGTGTTGATCACACAATCCATTCGATTCTGTGGATTGCTAATGACCAATCAACGGTTATGTTTATTGGGCCCGCATCTAATTGCCATCAACACTTGAGAGGAGGGAAATCCTCAATTTCACGATCAGCGCTTATCACGAGACAATCATCCATTCGAATCAATAGTCACACAACCACCAGAGAGCAAACACGCTCGTTCAGCAGATGTCTTTATTTTGATTTTCATTTTTATGTCAACCTATTTGTTAGTTTTGTTTACGTTGCAGCAATGTAAATTCCACCAATATTGACATATCCACATATTCTGGTGAGGATTATGTGCTATATGATTATGACCCAATGCGGTCGAAGAGAACACATAAACACACATGGAAAGTGTGAGTGATGGAATGAGAGTGAAACACAGAGAAAGAGTGGGCGAGAGAACGTTCGGTATGGTCTCTCACTCTCTCTCTCTCTCTCTCTCTCTCTCTCTCTCTCTCTCTCTCTCTCTTACGTATATATTTATTTTTCAACACAATTTGTGGAGTCAACGGAAATTTCGAGCATTTGCTCGAAAGTGAAAGTCAAGAATGCGGACAAAATAAGCGAACAAACTCATAAATTGTGCATGTTTCCTTGAAACTTCGAAACGAGTAGAAGAACGGCGAGAGAAAATAAAAATGATAAATTTATGCAGCGTCACTTACATGCTGTAGGATATTATGGCTATTTTGGCAATCGAGTGAAACAAGCATTAAATACATTGTAACGAAGGAGTGAATGGGAACAATTGAACGAAATAAAGACAGAGATGGAAAATTGTGAATCATAAAACCTTCAATGAACCTCACAAATCAATTGAACGTTGTTGTTTTTATGGAATATTCGATGAGGCAAACGAAGAGAAGATTGATTGTGCAAATTTTGTGCAATGGTGTTTGCTTGTGGCCGATGATCAATAAAAATACGCGTGCATATTGATATTTCACATAAAATATAGTCATAACGAATACGATCTTCGTTTTTTTGGGGGTAATGGAAACGGCATTAACGGTGTGAACAATAGCGGCAATAACCAGGCATTTGTTTGATTGTTCACATGGAGCACATGGCCGCTCACATGGAATGAGTTTTATGTGCATGTAGATAATTCAAACCATATGTCGTTTGTCGTTTCGATGTACTGTATTCATTCGCAATTTATGCTTTGTTACATTTTAGTTGAGAGACGAATTGAGATTATAGTTTACTGCTTGTTTGCTATGAACCACATTACTATGACCAAACCGGAACTCTATTGCAATCGAAACGAAATTGAATAGGTACGAATAAAAAGCAACTTAAAATGTTTCTCTTCCTTCATCAATGTGAAGCATGCATTCTTCGAGACACACAATCGCACCGTTTGTTTGAAATACACACTCGCACATGTTCGCAGAGGTAAAACGGTAAGAAAGGAAACAACGGTAAGAAAATGGATTTTGAAACTTTATCACCATATATTATTCACCAGAATAAAATCTCATCCATCGAAAGGCGCACGCACTCTCACAACAATATGGCAACATATTGTTCGATGCTCATAATGTGCCATTACGAAAGAGGGATTGAGAGGAGACGGCACACGACCGATGAATGATGACACACATAGAGAAAGAAAATCAGATTGGAAATGAAAAGGTTAAGCACTCTTGCTGTGCATACGAAAGCTCACTAATTTAATTGAGTTTTGATTGCATTTTATCATCCAGTAGTACTTTTATGTAACCCTTTTTTGGTACCTATTTTCGGCATAACTCCTACAACCACTACACCTAGTGTAGTCTGTGCTGCTGTATTTTTGTGCGCATTTCGGATTTAAGAATGAAAAGCAAAAAAAGAGGAACAAGAGAAGAGAAGTTGTCGTAAATCAATTTCGGCTATTTGTAGCTGAAATTGTATCAAGAGAAAAAGACGTCAAACGGCCGACCTTCCTCCAAACGAGAACTACTTCAAACTTGTACGACATTTGACTTTTCATGTTTCACTCTTACGTACGTATGTTCGTTGCTCGAAATCGCTTTTCATTCCAGTTCAACTCCGACTTTCACAAACGGTAAAATTGGCAATGATAACACGAGTATAACAACAGTGAGCCCGCGTCGTAGGCGCAATGGCAACTTAAAAGCACCGGGCATAACATTCGAAAATGTGTTCATGGTATATATATGGTATGTATGTGTTTTGTCTTCTTCTGTTTTGTTTCGTTCCCTTTTGGTAAGCACTTACCTGAGCCCGTAGTGCTGCCAAATGCAATCGTTTTGTCTGCAAATCGAATTTCTTCATTGAAATATCCTCCTGCAGTTCACTTGATTTGTTGAACAGTTGACTTTCAAGTACACGAATTTGCGCCCGAATTAAAGACTCCAATGACTCCTATGTGTAGTGATGTTAATTTTAGATTTTGCAGCAGCACCACCACCACCACCACCATCCAGAGAATTGGAATGCGAGAAAAGATGAGAAAAAAATAGAAAAAGTGTGTGAGAGAGAGAGAGAGAGAGAGAGAGAGAGAGAGACAAGCCAAATGTGATGGCTAAAACCGAAAATGGATATCGATTTCAATATAATTGAAAACACAGATTCGACTCCGTTTGCATATTTTCTCCGTGTGAAAATGTGCCATACACACATACATACATGTATTTTCACAGATAACTATTTGATATACCCACCACATTCAACTAAACATATTTTGGGAATTTAGAAAAGCACACAACACTAAATTGAAAACGGTATTGTACGGTAAAATAAAATGATTGTCACCTGCAGCTGTTTGATTTGTGTTTCAATTTCAATGGTTTCTCTTTTAAGTGCGTCTACTGAAGGACGGATTTGAATTGATGCATTTCGGTCTACAATAAGCTCATTTCTAAATGGAATTGGTGACTGGTCCTACACAACAACGAACAAAAAGATATTTTTTTTCTGTTGCAATAAATATAAAAAGTGACACACCGAAACATTTTAAATTGTGTTACGTTGGTCATTCATCATTCAATTTTTTTTTTTCGGTTTCATTTCGATTTTCCGTACATTGGGTTGGCGCGGCCGTGTCATTTTCTCTTATTCAGCAATTATTCATCTAACTCAAACCCAACCGCCATCGAAATTGCTCCAAAGGATGAATGTTACGTTAGATTGAAAACACAATTCAAATGGGGACAAACATTGGGCGCTTACCTCATCAACTTCATTGACTGGTGCAGCATATGACTTTTTAGGAACTTTTGGTGGCGATTCGGGCTGTAGAATTTTCACAAAACTGGTCAAATCCTGTTGTGGTGATATGCCTTTGCATTGATTTGTCAAACTATCATAACGTTTTAATTGATCATTGGCCTGAAAATGTCAACCACACAAATAAATTATCGTTCAAGATTAAATAAAATATAATATTGATAGGATGAGGTCGTTACTAATTTTTGTGGATTATTTAATTGTATTCAAAATAAATTTTAACCATAAAATACGTATGAAATGCAGAAGCGACGACTCGTGGATAAAATTTTGAACAAAAATGCATCGAATCATTATTTCCAAGCTGGAACTGGATATATGATTGTCAGTTATATCGGAGTCTTGCGCATGAATGCACTACTATTAATAGCCATCCATTTGTTCTTTTTGTTTTTTTTTTTTTATTGCTTGATGAGATATTGGTTTGACACTCTTTTTTGGAGGTTTCCATTTCAATCCACCAGTGGAGAGAGCTCTTTTTGAGTGGTCCGCACAACATATTTATGGAAAACTGGAATTGATGACAGAAAAACAAGAGAAAGAGGAAAAAAATATGGATTTATTATTACCTTTGCCGAAATGATGTCGGCTCCATTGAAAATCGCCTCGGACACAATTCCGCACAAATCACTGTAAATGTCCTCAAGTTCTTGCATCAACTGCGGTACCGTGTCGATGTTATACCATTCGAGCATTGCGTTCGTGGTGTGCAGCTGTTGAACGTATGTATTATGCGAATCGATGTAATTAGTAAGCGTTTGTTGGCTAGGCTGTTGACGATGTGCCATAAAACAATGCTTATAATCCATGCGACACTAAAAAAACATGCCGAAATTATTTGTTTGTTGGTTGTTGTTTTTCGTCAGTGGCGGAGGCGTCATGAAGTCATGATATATATGAAAAATAAATGAAGATTAATGCACGGTTTTTATTAAAATTGATCGTAACTAAAAGCTTATATACAGATTTTTCGTGTGAATATATTTTTCGACCTAATTTTGATGGTGCGACGATGATTTTGGCCATATTCAATTAAACTATTTCGTTATTTTGAATATGATCGAAAGAATTCCGTAGTCATTATTTTTGCAGAGAGGGAAAAGAAAACTTTTTTTCTACGTGACCTAAGCACGTTTCATTTTGAAGCTTCTTTCCATAATTTTTTTTCCATTTCAAACACAACAATATTCAACGTATTGGCATAACCGACAGAAAAATACCATTATATTTTCCACCCTTCAAATAAATTTTCCAACTTTTGCAGACAGCCACTTCATCCTATTCAACAAAACTGGTTTGCATGTAATTGAAGCTGGCGTATAACTTATATCACGATATCTTATAGGATTTAAAAGTTGAAATATATTATTTTCGACTGAAAAATGGTGTGTTTTTTTTTGCGTTTGGTTGGGTTTGTGTTGGTAGAAAATCGAAATCTACTGGAATTTCACTGCCAAACTGACAAAGAAATCGTAATTTTTCTTCGTGGTCAATCAAACCGTAATGTGTGAAATCGATTCGTGATTAAGCGGAAGTAAACAAAATCAACCGGGTTCGTGGTCGAAGTGTTGGTGTGAGATAAGAGTGCCATTGTGGCTCGACAAGTGCATTCGATTCATTCGATTCGAACGATATTCATTAGAATAATTTAGTCGTCGACGAAAGTTTGAGCTTGATTGTGTTGTTTCGATAAGGGCGGTTGAAGTTTTCTAATTATCATTTAAGCACTTCTTGGTCATGGATTTTTTTTCCACTCTCAATCGCCAGTTCGCATTGAGGCCGAATGTATTTGTCAGGTTGGTGATGCCTACAGGCATTAATGAATGGAGATTGAGTGGATGAGGGAAAGAGAGGGCAACCGCACTTCTTATCTCTTTCACACTCTAGTGTATGACAATTTCCTCGCTTCTATGTTTCTCGTTTCTCGTTTCTTCTTCCTTTTACGCTTTTCGCCTTTTTGACGATTCTCTCATCCGCTTTGATATCCACTTCTCTCGATTGTTTTGCACTTTTCCGATTGTGCCTATCTTCCAAAACACGGATGTTCATCACTGATAATAGAATAAAAACTTGAAAGTTGTTCGGTTCTTAATATGGCCGAGCAAAACATCTGCCCCACCGATCGGTCTTTTGATGAAAATCCGTATTTTCTCCGAAAAGAATTTTTATCCGAAAAGAAAAACCCATGGTCATAATTCATTGCAAAGAGTGTGCGAAAACTGCGTAACAACAACGAATCATTCCCAATGGAATTTCGTGACGCACTTCAGACCTATAGACCATTGAATTGGTTTGGACGAGCAAAAGTTACACAATTCAAGTAATTCACAATTTGATCGGTGAAACTCTGTGTTTCGACCAATATTACCCTTCCACACCGATTCATACACATCAAAATGAAATCCAAATCTGAACGAACGACCATCTTTGGTCAAAACGAATGGCGAAAGTACTTGTGGTTTCAAAGTTTCCAAAAAGTGTCTGCAAGTTGGAGCACTGATTTCACTTTGAAAGCCAACTCAAATTGCCGATAGCGGTTCAGATGACGTCAACGCGCAGCAACGTTAACTGTTATTCATTCTATTTGTTTTGGCATGTTGCAAGGTGCTTTTGAGCTTTTAGCCATTGATTTGAACCAACTTCAATGCACCAGTAGTAGACCGAATGTCTTCGAATCAATTATACATTCAACAAACTATTGCGTTCAATTTTATGAAACTTCAAAAAAACACGTAAATCATCATCAGCAAATACAAGCGAGAAATTTGTGTTACACTTGTACGTGTGAGGTTGTTTCTGTGCCGTGAAAATGCATCACGTTTCACATGTGGCCACTATTAAAAGAGAAACACATAAAAATGTGTGTGTAAAACACATCGTGGTGCGTCGCGTTCTCAACGATGGATGCTACGTGCACAAATAGACCAGCACGAAATTGAAATGCTTGTGTGCGCTCCGCAAAGCACAGCATTACGAAATATTGTTAATGCTTCATCCAAGAAAACCAGTACTCACTTCACAAAATTACTCAAAGTTGACAGCAAAATCATTGCAATTTATCACATGCGTTTACTTGACGACTACGATGACGATGACAACGACAGCATTTACATTTCTTTTGTTTGGCTTTGGATATTTTTACTTTGGCAAATGAATTCTTCTTCTACGGTTTTTTTTTTATCGTCTTGGTAGTTGTGTTGTGTTCAGATGATTTTGAGGGATTTATGATGACACATGATCATTTTTTTTCTTTCATCTTCTCATCTCATTTCATGTTCGTAGCTCAAGGCAACGAAAGCAAACCCGAAAAAGAAAACAATTCATTTTGATTATGTCTTAGTATAAAAAAACAAAATTTCATTGAAAATTAATTTTTTTCCCTTCTTTTCGGCATGAATAGAGAATCATCTGCTTTTCGAGAAATAATCCAACTGCGTCGATTTGAATTTGATTTCGTGCGGAATAATGAAAGATGTAGAACAGAGGAGATGTGGAGGAGATGGAGATGGAGAAGAAGAAGAAGAAGGAAATGGAACCAAGTTGGTTCAACCAACCACATTTAATAAATAGGCATCGGTGTGTGGTCTTGCAATAACAATAAAAAGTTTGATCGATGACAAAATATCTTGTCTTTTGGTAGACTAATCGCATTAAAGGAATGCGAGCACACAAAACATGTGACGTGCGTTGCACACACAAAATGAAAACCAGAAATGCCATATGCCAACCAGGCAAAGAGCCAGCAGCATTGTTGTCGAAAAGTCGCCACACTCGCACAAATAAACACAATCGACGATTGTACATTTAATGCTAATACAAAGTAATATCTTTTTGGCGAATAATGAACGGAAAAGCAATATGCACGAGACAAAGCGAATAATTTTCGTTGACAAATAGCAAATAAAATAACAAGTTAATAAGGCAAGTTTTCTCATTTTATCCAGACAGATTTTGCTGAGTGCAAAGTGAATGAACAAGTTTGGTTGGTGGATGGATGTATGCGATGCTGCTTTCTGATAAGAGCTGAGACGGTTAAATGGAAACTAACGGAGTGGGAGAGAGAGAAAGACAACACGGTGGCAAAAGTTGTGTAATGAAGACATGGAGTAGCGTGTTTAACTGATAAACCAACTGCAACACACCAATTGCGAAATCAACAGTGTGAGAAGAAAGTGCTGCGCCGTTGAACACCCTGGTGCTGGTGGAGAGGATTGGAAATGAAGTTTTGTAACATACGTTTCTGCGGTCATATAAATGGTGACAATAATTAGAGTGCGTACAATTCAAAGCTCGAGTAACAGTCGCAATTCGACCTGTCGCCAATAAATTGTACACATCAAATGCAATGTATGGGACAAAGAACGAAACGAAAAAATAAATGAAAATATCACTTCGGTTCACATAAAAATCCGTTAAGAGTTGGTTGCAATTTTGTTTGGATAAAATTGGCCACATGGACATTGACTTTTTGCAATGTATGTCTCTGCATCACGTGGCAAGTTCAATGAATGTTGCGAACGAGCTGAGTATGCATTTGCATATAGTCGGCAAACTTTTTTCCACGCTATCACCTCCCGCCTCTTTCTCCCTTCCATCCATTTCACACTTGGGAATTACAAATTTCGTTTTAAGCACGAATTACGCAAAAGAGCATGCATTAAAACCTTTTGAGCAATGGGGAGAAATAGAACGAGGCACAGAGACCAAATGAGTCTAATATGGGCAAATATTGTCGCATATCGCGTCGTTACTAATGGAATTGATAATTAGACTGGAATAAAAGAGAATGCGTGAGTAAGTGCGAGATGCGAAAAAATTTATATGATGACGATGTACTTGATGACTTGCCATTTGTTTTATTCATTCGGCTCGAGCAAATCCCAAATTGTAAATTTTGTTCCATTATTATTCTTTCTTTTTTTACTGTTGTTTTGTTTTTTTTTCTTTTCATTCGCTCTTTCGCCCCTCCTGATTCATTTCGCATATATGAAGCGGCAAAAGTGTGAGCGGAACAGAACATGTTTGGCACAGCCAAAAAAAACTCCGCGCCTCTTTCGAGCGGGACAGGGTGTATGCAAATTAATCGACATGGATTTAACGACGATGTGGAGCGCGTACTCGTCGCTTTCAATTCATTCACTCGAAAAATACGTTTGTTGATTCATTCGCCTTTGAAATTGGTTGTGTATACACAACAACAACGAGAACAACAACAACGTCAGCGCACAGCTTTTTACTATGGCTTTAAAAAGTTTTCTCGACCGGGCTTGGCTACGGAATCAATGGAAAGCAGGCAGTCATGGTGCGTGCCTTTTCTTGAATTTGTTTGTTGCACACATATACTGACGCTCTTCTTTTTCTCTCTTTCGTCGCTTCAAATAATTAGACTGGTATTTACTGGTCGGTTCAGTTGGTGTGTTGTATGGAAATTGCTACTTTTCCGCACGGTTAGCAAAATCAAATTCCAATTGGTCGGATGCAATGGTCGATGGAGCTCAGAGAACGACGCAGACAAAAATGAAGACAAACCAAAGAGAAAGGAAAGAAAGAAAGCAAAAACTTTTGTCAAAAAACAAACAAACATATAGAACGAACACGATCCAAAATGAATGAACTTCGAATCGAATTGTGGCTGGTCGGGTATCAATTTTCCCTTTTTTATTTAAACAGCACGAAAAACAACATTAAATGGAAGCCGCTCGCATTGGCTCGGTTTGCTGTATTTGTTTTCGTTTAGGGTTACAATTTTCATTAAACAACGAAAGACTTCTTTTCTCTCTCACTCACTCTCTCTCTCTCTCTCTGCAATTGGTTTCAAGGCATTTCTCTCTCCCCTCCTCTCTCTCGCTTCCTCCATTTGGCTAATGGCTCACACTTTTTGGCTCTATGTCATTGTAGTCGGTCTCTCGTTCTCAAAGCGAACAACTTTCGTCGGACAATAAAGAAATTCCAAACTTTTCTGTTCGCTCAAACCAAACGAACAACCTAATAGCAACTAAGCGGAGAAACATATTTTAATCGTATGATCCAGACGTTGAAATTGCGTTCAATTGAACATTCTCAATGGTTTGTAAATGGTTCTCTGGAATGTATTCAATTGGTGGTTTAATTCGTCGTCGTCGTCGTCTTCTACTTTTTTTGCGTGTAATGCTGTCAAATCGAAACAGCAGACGATTGAAATATGAGGTAATTGTCCTTTTTGGCATATTCTCTTGATAAATTTCATTGACCTTAATCTTATCTCAAATAGCATACCATCATTTATGAACACCGACTGCATCTCTATACTATATTTATCGGTACCATTCGGTTTTTTTCTCTTTCTATTTTGTTTATTTTGTTAGCGTTTGCATACCTGCGCCAATTTTTCTTCAGTCTTTGCGATGATCACGTCAAACGATTCTCGATGAGTGAAAACTTTTTTGCTTTGAACTTTGCGATGAAACGTTTTCGCCAAAATCGGTTCGGATACCTGGAAAGAGAAAACAACAACTCAGTATTAATTTCTATTCATCGACCGAACTTTCGGATAAATTATGAATTTTCGATATGTATCATTTGTTTATTGTTCTGTCTCAATTTGATGGCGTGTTTATTCATCATTTTTAACTTGCTCAATTCGGTGCTTCGGGAAAAACAATGTGTCATGATATTGTTTGGCTTTACATTGTTTTTTTCTTCATTATTCAAACGATTTCAATTCGAAAATATGGATTCAGTGTTTTACATTCGAAATCAAACATTTTCCACGTCAAAAGCCACATACGAATAAAATACTCGGTAAATTTATTTCAATTGAAGTTCATATGCACGAAAAAAATCGCTTACCCTGTGTGCATGTTCTTATTTTTATATATTACATGATTTCCGAAAGGCAAACAGTGCCGATGTGAAAGTCGAAGAAGTATCATCATTAGGAAAGTTTGAAGAGTTTTTTTTGCCAGGATGAAATCGATAACATTGTTAATTTGCATGTTTCCCATCAAAGAATGAGTCGCTCCAAATGCTTTGAGAAAAGTTCGTCGTAACGAAGTAAAATCATTTATTGTTGGGTTGCAAAACGTATAGACTCTCTTTAGCCCGGAGATTTACAAGTACAGATTTCGGCAAGAAGATTCCGTCAGTCGGCGGATTTGCACATTATTCACATTGATAGCAATTTCGCACATGATTTTGATGTCGTTCGTGTCGCTCCCTCTCACAGATGCTGTGGATGTATGCCATTGTTCAAAAATGAATCGATTTGACAATTGTGACACGTAATACAATCGGTAAATAAAAATCGATGCTCGTGTGTATGTGTGTGTGTGTGTGCTTTTGTACGGCGCGTATCGTTCTCTGGGCAGAAAATGAAAACAGTAACGAAACAGGCAGCCGAACATGTACCATGTGAGATAACACGAAGTCACAATGTGTCAATCTTTTAACATTGCAGTGGAATTGTTCGACGCAAAACGAAACAAAAACTAAGCCGAAAAAAATTCACACACTAGCGGTGCTCATGTACATCTTTTGTACATGTGACAACGTCAATATTATTATGAGTGGAAGCGAGATGACGAAAGAAAAAACGCACACCAGGCGAGGGAAAAAATAACATTTGGTGAAAATGCGTCACATACGAACACGCATTCCACAATGGAGTCTATTTACACATCCGCGTGCGAATCAATTATGTAGGATTTCGATTGGTTTTTTTTTCCATTTGCAGTAGACAAAAAAGCAATCACAATAATAATCACAATATTCGTTGAATGAATCGAATTTCGTATTCGGCATCAGTCGTATTGTGTTTGATAGTTTCGACAAGAGACGTGATGAACAACAACAAAAGCGAAAATCGTTTATCTCATTCCAGCCGAATGGCAATGGTGCGCGAACTGCAAGTTTTGCGGGCACAATATCGCGGCACAAATGGAATGCACGGCACATTTTAGCCGAACCGGGCCTATTTATGTTTACATTCCATGCGATGCTTTGCGTTGCGAGTATTTGCCGTATTTTTCAGTCGGCTAATTGCAAAGATCAGATTTCCATAAAGCAATTAAACTCGTTTTTTTTTTCTGTCGTTGTTGCTAAATTGTCTTTTCAGACACCGACGATTGCATTGTGATGCAAATCAGCTGTGATTCTTCTGGAATCCAGAATCTGGATACTCTGATGCGGAAGAAAAAAACCTCAAGCAAATTCGCAATTCGACGTCAAACCAACTCTTGGTTTTATCATTGTAAATAGAATGAATTTGATAAAATTATGGCATGGTTTCCTATTCTCTCTGTACACATTAATTTAAAATGGTTTCGAATTAATTTCCATGCCGTCGAATTTAATGGGTGGCTCGAGGAAACGACAGAATGGAAAATACAAAACCGTAATTTTTCACGGCATTCAAACCGTTCTATTCGCTTGTGTTATTCAGGAAGTGGTGAGCAGCTGGAATGATATTCTCTATTCTAAACATTTTTGCGGGCAAGCGAGCGGACCAGCGGGTGTTTTTAGAGGTGTTTTTGGTCAGTTTGGTGTTTGCAGTCGAGATGGTTAGTGTGGGTGAGATATTGAAAGCCAACTTTCATTCCGAGCCAAATTGTTCGACAGTATAATATCCAAACTATGCCGCAGCCATTAGATAGAGAAATTCGGATGCCATGATAGGTGCATGACAAATGGATGGGAAATGTAAATTTCAAATGCTTTAAATTACTTTCAAACCGGTGAAAAGTAAAAAAAAATGTAAATTCATCTCAGCGCACATATCCGTAGAAATCGAATAACTATTGGATTGTAATGTGAAAGCTTTTAATGTCAATTTGCTTCGCGGAGCACATCAAATCGACTTAATAAATGACGGCCTGAGAAGAAAAACCTTTCCTACAAAACCTGTGCGTAGAACCCAAACACAGAAATTTTTTAGTCAAAAGGCGAACAGCAAATTTGCGAGCGCAAAAACCTAATATATTTACAGCGAGCGCAAAAG